ATGAAAATAAAACTGTCGTTGGCGACGAGCTGGGGCTCGAACCTCCAACCCCTAGATTGACGATCGAAGAACGGAACTCTACCGACTGGGCTAACGGCTCGCACTTACCAAGCAGGCAATTTATAATATATATAAATCTCCGGTTGCATGGGTTGGTGACGCCAAAAGTCACGTGTCGTCGTCAACCCCACCCCCTCCGCTCTGATGGAAATGAAAAAAAAATAATTGTCGTTGGTGACAAGCTGGGGTCTCGAACCTCCAACCCCTAGATTGACGATCGAAGAACGGAACTCTACCGACTGGGCTACTGGCTCGCACTTACCAAGCGACAGTTTATAATATATATAAACCTCCGGTTGCAAAGGATGGTGACGCCAAAAGTCACGTGTCGTCGTCACACCCCGTCAACCCCACCCCCTCTGATGAAAATGAAAAAAAAGACTGTCGTTGGTGACGAGCTGGGGCTCGAACCTCCAACCCCTAGATTGACGATCGAAGAACGGAACTCTACCGACTGAGCTACCGGCTCGCACTTACCAAGCAGGGAATTAATAATATATATAAACCTCCGGTTACAAAGGATGGGAACGCCAAAAGTCACGTGTCGTCATCACACCCCGTCAACCCCACCCCTTCCGCTCTGATGAAATGGAAAAAAAACTGTCGTTGGTGACGAGCTGGGGCTCGAACCTCCAACCCCTAGATTGACGATCGAAGAACGGAACTCTACCGACTGGGCTACCGGCTCGCACTCCAAGCAGTCAATTGATAATATATATAAAACTCCAGTTGCAAAGGATGGTAACGCCAAAAGTGACGTGTTGTCGTCACACCCACCCCCTCCGCTCTGATGGAAATGGAAAAAAATAATTGTCGTTGGTGACAAGCTGGGGCTCGAACCTCCAACCCCTAGATTGACGATCGAAGAACGGAACTCTACCGACTGGGCTACCGGCTCGCACTTACCAAGCGACAATTTATAATATATATAAACCTCCGGTGGCAAAAAATGGTGACGCCAAAAGTCACGTATCGTCGTCACACCCCACCCCCTCCGCTCTGATGCAAATGGAAAAAAAATAATTATCCTTGGTAACAAGCTGGGGCTCGAATCTCCAACCCCTAGATTAACGATCGAAGAACGGCACTCTACCGACTGGGCTACCGGCTCGCACTTAACAAGCAGGCAATTAATAATATAGGTTGCAAAGTTGCAAAGGATGGTGACGCCAAAAGTCACGTGTCGTCGTCACACCCAATCCACCCAACCCCCTTCCGCTCTGATGAAAATGAAAAAAAATCTTGTCGTTGGTTACAATCTGGGGCACGAACCTCCAACCCCTAGATTGACGATCGAAGAACGGAACCAGTGCACAGAGTGTAATAATCGCGGTACATACCGTTATTTCGTTTTATTGTTTTGGATTTCCTCAAAAACAAAAACTGTAAACGAACCATTGACCGTTTTGTCGTTTTACAGTTTTAGTATAAAACGACAAGCGGTATTAAGATAAATACGGTGTCTCTGTTTTATAAGTTTAGTAAAATCCATTATAGCATAACGATCAATGATTTTTGTTTTACAGTTTTACACAAATAACTTTGAAAAACAGCAAAACGGTCAGTATTGAATACAGAATCCCGGGACATACCGTTATTTCGTTTTACCGTTTTGCATTTCCTCAAAACAAAAACAGTAAACAAACCATTGACCGTTCTGTCGTTTTACAGTTTTGTAAAACGGTCAAACGGTATTAAGATAAATGCGGTTTCTCTGTTTTATAAGTTTAATAAAATTCATTACAGCATAACGATCAATGATTTTTGTTTTACAGTTTTACACAAATAACTTTGAAAAACAGCAAAACGGTCAGTATTGAATACAGACTGTTTTTTTTATTTCAGTGTCATAGTGAACAGTCCGTGGTGCATTTTGTGGTGCTGGGCAAGGGGGATGGAGGGGGACCATGTCACCATGCTTTACATGAAAAAGTGTTACCTCGGCATAATGCGTGGTGTGATGATTCCTGGCGTGACCCTGACCCCCTCTTCACGCGATTCAGTTGGTGGGGCTTAAGAGTTGCAAGCAAAAATGGCGCTGGAAAACTTCAAGGGAGGACATTACTTTTTACAATGGATACAGGATGGTAATACGTTTGAAGAAGTTGCAGATATTTGAAGGAAATTGGAGTTCGGCGCGGCTCTTCAATAGCCAGTTCGAAAACTATGTCGTGAGAACGAAATGTGAGGAGAGTAGTTTGGGTCCCAGGCAATGACTCGATCCCATGAGGACGCATTAACATTCCTTAGTGCATTGCTTAATTACTGAACCTAAATCAAAAAATGGTCGACAGGACTATTGACCGTTTTTCATTGTCATGTTCTTTAAAACAACACTCTGAAATGAAGCAACTAACCGTTTATCGCTTTCAACAATTAAGAAAAACAACAAAAAGGTCATTGTTTTTTTGTGACCTAACTACCGTTTGACCGTTTTACAAAACTGTAAAACGAAAAAACGGTCAACGGTGCGTTTACTGTTTTTGTTTTTGAGGAAATCCAAAACGGTAAAACGAAATAACGGTATGTCCCGGGATTATACAGACTGTTTTTTTTATTTTAGTGTCATTGTTAACAGTCCGTGGTGCATTTTGTGGCGGTGGGCAAGGGGGTGGAGGGGGACATGATGCTTAAACGAAGAAGTGTTGGCTCGCCATAATTAATGCGTGGTGTGATTGACAGTGATTCCTGGCGTGACACTGACCCCCTTCTCATGCGATTCAGTTGGTGGGGCTTAAAGAGTTGCAAGCAAAAATGGCGCTGGAAAACTTCAAGGGAGGACATTACTCTTCACAATGGATACTTAATTGCCGAACCTAAATCAAAAAATGGTCGGCAAGACTATTGACCGTTTTGTCATTGTCATGATTTTGTATAACAACACTCTAAAAATAAAGCAACTAACCGTTTAACGCTTTCTAATAATGTCCTCCCTTGGAGTTTTCCCTCGCCATTTTTGCTTGCAACTCTTTAAGCCCCACCAACTGAATCGCATGAGTGTCTGCACCAGGAATCACACCACGCATTATTTATGCCGAGGTAACACTTCTTCGTGTAAGCATCATGTCCCCCTCCACCAATCCCGGGACATACCGTTATTTCGTTTTACCGTTTTGCATTTCCTCAAAAACAAAAACAGTAAACGCACCGTTGACCGTTTTTTCGTTTTACAGTTTTGTAAAACGGTCAAACGGTATTAGGTCACAAAAAACAATGACCTTTTTGTTGTTTTTCTTGATTGTTGAAAGCGATAAACGGTTAGTTGCTTCATTTTCAGAGTGTTGTTTTACAAGAACATGACAATGAAAAACGGTCAATAGTCCTGTCGACCATTTTTTGATTTAGGTTCGGCAATTAAGCAATGCACCCAGGAATGTTAATGCGTCCTCATGGGATCGAGTCATTGCCTGGGACCCAATTACCCTCCTCACATTTCGTTCTCACGACATAGTTTTCGAACTGGCTTGCCGCGCCGAACTCCAATTTCCTTCAAATATCTGCAACTTCTTCAAACGTATTACCATCCTGTATCCATTGTAAAAATTAATGTCCCCCCTTGAAGTTTTCCAGCGCCATTTTTGCTTGCAACTCTTACTAAAACTAACAGCCCCACCAACTGAATTGCGTGAGAAGGGGGTCAGGGTCACGCCAGGAATCACACCACGCATTATGCCGAGGTAACACTTTTTCATGTAAAGCATGGTCCCCCTCCATCCCCCTTGCCCAGCACCGCAAAATGCACCACTGACTGTTCACTATGACACTGAAATAAAAAAAAAACAGTCTGTATTCAATACTGACCGTTTTGCTGTTTTTCAAAGTTATTTGTGTAAAACTGTAAAACAAAAATCATTGATCGTTATGCTGTAATGAATTTTATTAAACTTATAAAACAGAGAAACCGTATTTATCTTAATACCGTTTGACCGTTTTACAAAACTGTAAAACGACAGAACGGTCAATGGTTTGTTTACTGTTTTTGTTTTGAGGAAATGCAAAACGGTAAAACGAAATAACGGTATGTCCCGGGATTTCCACCCCCCTTGTAAAACGAACGGTATGTCCCGGGATTCATCCTGTATCCATTGTGAAATTTCTTTCTTGAAATTTTCCAGCGCCATTTTTACTTGGAGTGCAACTCTCTAGCCCCACCAACTGAGTCGCAGTAGATGGGGGTCAGGGTCACGCCGGCAATCACACCACGCATTAATTATACCGACAACCACGGTAACACTTCTTCGTGCAGACATGCCCCCCCCCCCCCCCACCTTGCCCACCGCCACAAAATGACACTGACATAAACAAAACAGTCTGTATTCAATACTGACCGTTTTTGAAAGTTTTCAAAGTTATTTGTGTAAAACTGTAAAACAAATATCATTGATCGTTATGCTGTAATGAATTTTACTAAACTGATAAAACGGAATAACCGTATATTTATCTTAAATACAAATTGACCGTCTTACAAAACTGTAAAACGACGAAACGGTCAATACTGAGTTCGTTTACTGTTTTTAGTTTTGAGGAAATCCAAAACGGTAAAACGAAATAACGGTATGTACCGGGATTCAGTATTGAATACAAATTGTTTTTATTTTATTTCAGTGTCATAGTTCACAGTCCGTGGTGCATTTTGTGGCGGTGGGCAAGGGGGGGGGGGGGGCTGGAGGGGGACCATGACCATATGGAGATCAATGGTCCCTATTCACCAAAAAAAACCGCCATAAAGCTAGTCTACCGCCCTCAGGAAACGGTATGTAGTTAATTTTGCGGGTTTATGACGTCAGCGTTACTATTCTGGTTCCGAATACCCGTTCCATTCATGCAGAAAATCCGGGTTGTAGAGTCAGGAGCTAGACTTTAGTCGGGTCGCTCATACTCTGCTGTTCAGAAAACGCTCGAAATTCTTGCCGACGTCTGGGTGTTCGCAGGTTGCTACAAACGATAATCGCCCGGCCTCAAATTCTGCTCTGCTCTGGAATGGACAACAAGTTTTTTTTGAAGAAAAATGGAAATTGTTTTAATTTGCTCTGCGGTTTTGAAATTCCTGCAAACGTTTTCTGCCACCATCACAGTAGAGACTACAGTATCAGTGAAGGTAGTCGTTTTTGAATAGGTAAGCCTGTTCACCTTTGCTTTGGCAAAAAAATCTCTTTTTATTTTACTCGTTGGAAAACGTGTACAAAACCAATGAGACTGAGACAGTGAGAGCTGTTGAAAACAGTTAAGAAATAAGTACGATCGTGTAGTGTGGGGCTCCTGTTTTGTTTTCTTCAAATAAGAATCAAGAATGTTTTTGGTACAACTATAGAATGCAGGGCCACTTTACTCTACATCCGCGCCTCCGTACGGCTGCGTGGAGGCGTGGAACCGCAGTCGACCTAGCCCCCTACCTCTGAAAATCGATCGTGGAGTCGTGGAGCCGCAGAAAATTGCGCCCTCTATCGGTGCGCGTCTCTGCGACTCCGCGACTCCGCGCCTCCACCACTGAGAGACAGTGCCCCGTCGCCCTCCCCCCCCTTCCTAATTTGCGCGCCCAATTAAAGCGACTCTGCGACTCCGCGACTCCAGACAGTGCCCCGTCGCCCTCCCCCCTTCCTAATTGGCCCGCCCAATTAAAGTGACTCTGCGACTCCCCGACTCCGCGCCTCCGCGACTCCAGACAGTGCCCCGTCGCCCTCCCCCCCCCCTTCCTAATTGGCCCGCCCAATTAAAGTGACTCTGCGACTCCCCGACTCCGCGCCTCCGCGACTCCAGACAGTGCCCCGTCGCCCTCCCCCCCTTCCTAATTGGCCCGCCCAATTAAAGTGACTCTGCGACTCCCCGACTCCGCGCCTCCGCGACTCCAGACAGTGCCCCGTCGCCCTCCCCCCTTCCTAATTGGCCCGCCCAATTAAAGTGACTCTGCGACTCCCCGCCTCCGCGACTCCAGACAGTGCCCCGTCGCCCTCCCCCCTTCCTAATTGGCCCGCCCAATTAAAGTGACTCTGCGACTCCCCGACTCCGCGCCTCCGCGACTCCAGACAGTGCCCTGTCGCCCTCCTCCCTTCCTAATTGGCCCGCCCATTTAAAATGGATATGGATGCTTCGTTCTCAGAAAGATTCCGCTGAGAATTGCGCCCTCTATCGGTACGCGTCTCTGCGACTCCGCGACTCCGCGCCTCCGCCACTCCAGTGCCCCGCGTCTCCGCGATTCTGCGACTCCAAGACTCCGCGCCTCCGCCGCTCCAGACGGTGCCCCCAACACATTTACAAGCACGCCCTCCCTTCCGAACCTTCATGAGAAGCTTTGCAGACAAGTGCAGTGCATTCCTTCGCTGTACTTAGCACTTTTTGGCAGGTTTGCATATCTATTACTCCTATTCCATCCACGCCTCCAGGCAAAATAAAAAACCTTGCTTCGGCGTGGCCCTGCATTCTATAGTTGCTCCATGTTTTTATTTCTAAAAAAAAATGACATTGTCAACCTAAAGCAGACTTCTCTCAATGTAATGACACCTTTTTGGTAGCTGGAGTTACCCAGCCCTGAATTTTATCGTTGGGTTGTCATGTAGGGCTGTAGCCCCATAAATGTGGCCTATTTACTGGACTGTCTCCGTAAACATAGGCCACACATCCACATGTACAAAAATCGTTTTAGGCTTAGTTTGTAGGATTTTTTTGCTTTAGAAGCATACTCACCCTCTTTATAGGCTATTCAGAAAGTGCTGCCTTTTTCAGATGTCTAATTTTTGTGAAATTTCATGTTGAAATTTTGATACGCAAACGTGTAAAAATGAATCTGGAAATTTCACGAAAAATATACATCTGAAAAAGGCAGCACTTTCTGATTAGCCTATAAAGAGGGTGAGTATGCTTCTAAAGCAAAAAAACCCTACAAACTAAGTCTAAGCCTAAATGTGAAAATCAAAACTTGGCAAAGTCGACACGATTTTTGTACATGTGGATGTGTGGCCTATGTTTACGGAGGCAGTCCAGTAAATAGGCCACATTTATTGGGCTAGTAGGGCTGGAGCTAATTTTTCACGTAACCGAGCAGCGTAAGCAGGTCCCCAAAAAAATTGCAATTTTGTCCCCGTTACACACTAATTGCAACTGCAACTCACCCCAAACTTGCCTGGAATAACCATTACACAGGTCCTTGAAGTAAAAAACGATCCACGATGAAGATTCAGCCTACAATTGCAGTAAAAAAAGGAGGAATAACCGCTAACCTGACAACCTTGCAGGCATGGACAGGACCGCAATTGGTTTGTGCACAAAAAAAATTGTGTACAATGAATGGCGGTCGATTACCATGCACAGAGTGCTGTCAACTACTCGTTTTTGCCGGCTGCGCTGGCTGTTGGCGCATGACGTCACGCGGAAGCGTAACACCCAATGACTGTTTCATGCACTATCGGTTGCGGTTCCAGTACCAAAGCTGTGATGCGAGTGGTAAACCTCATATTAGTGCATGAAACAGTCATCGGGTGTTACGCTTCCGCGTGACGTCATGCGCCAACAGCCAGCGCAGCCGGCAAAAACGAGTAGTTGACAGCGCTCTGTGCCTGGTAATCGACTGCCATTCATTGTACACAATTTTTTTTGTGCACAAACCAATTGCGGTCCTGGCCATGCCTGCAAGGTTGTCAGGTTAGCGGTTATTCCTCCTTTTTTCACTGCAATTGTAGGCTGAATCTTCATCGTGGATCGTTTTTTACTTCAAGGACCTGTGTAATGGTTATTCCAGGCAAGTTTGGGGTGACTTGCAGTTGCAATTAGTGTGTAACGGGGACAAAATTGCAATTTTGTTTGGGACCTGCTTACACTGCTCGGTTACGTGAAAAATTAGCTACAGCCCTACATGACAACCCAATGATAAAATTCAGGGCTGGGTAACTCCAGCTACCTTTTTGGTAATTTTGGAACAGTTTCTTGAATAGAATTACGATTTTCCTGGCGGTTTACACTGTAGTTACACAGGCCAGTTGATGCCGTGCAGCGCGACTCGCGTGCTCTCGGTACACATTGTACATCGCGCGGTGATCTTTATTTTCGTGTTGCTTTTTGTCATTGTCATTGTCAATTTTACCCCCAAATATCCCTCATATATTCAAAACCCTGCCCTTTATCTATGACATAGTCATAGGCCTAACTATATGTTCTTAATGTCGCCAACTAGTTTGGTTGGTCATGTTGGTCAAATAATTCAAAAGTGGATTTTGTTCCCTTATAATAGGAACGGGGCCTGTAGATACACAATCGCCGAAATAAGTGTATAATAAACAAAGGAAAAGGGAAAAGCAACAATAAGCCTTAACTCAAATAGCAAAATACACTGCCGCGCAAGGCATTATGGGCAGGTTAAGGGGGCAATGAACCACGCACGAACACCGTGTTCAAATGCGCACGCCGTCGCCGCCGTGTTAAGCCATGCAGCGTACGCGTTGACAGCGTACGTATGCGGTCAATGTCTTTGAGTCCTCCCGTGATGCTCTCGGATTTTATTTGCAATAAGGCTTTTACGCTAACATGTGCAAAACGGATCCGGAAACTACATGAAATAAAGACATCTGAAAAAGGGGGGTTAATTTTCTATCGCTTTAAAGAGGGTGAGTGTGCTTTCAAGGCATAAGTAACCTACAAAGTCTAAATGTGAATATAAAAACTTGACTTTTAAAAACAACGGAGGTTTCTTCTCAACAAATAGCGAATGTAAGTAGGCAAACAAATAAATGCAAGCATTTTTTAGGCAAAAGGGTTGTTGAGAGGTTGAGAGGTTTTTTTTAATTGCCGATAAAATTGTTAGGGTCGCGGCCTAAAAATAGGGTCGGTCGGGTAACCGGAAGCAGAAGTATTTTTTTTTTTTGCCTTACGGAAGTAGTCCAGTAAATTGGCCACATTTTATGGGGCTATACAAATGAGTGTTGTTTAGATCATGATTGTTGGAGTACAAGAACATTCAAGATCAAAGCAATAAATGTTACGAGATCATGCGCCGTAACTTTCGGTCAGCGCACGGGTGAAATCATCACACTCACGGCACGCTCTCGCAGGTCTCTTTTGCTCCATCGGCAGGATTATTTTTGCTGTGAATTTTGATTTTTGAAAGAGGCAAAATATATGGCAACCAACTTTTGATATACAGCCAAATGCCACAAATACTGATTCGCAGGAGTCATTTCAACAGTATTTGTGCGATATTTCTTACCGCAACCTCGTATTTTTCAACACTCTGGGGTTGCCCAGGGAACAAAATTGTACCACAACAGGCCATACACGGCCACACAGACTTCTCAGACTTTGAGTGTGTACAAAACAAGTGGAGGATTAGAATGTTGATGTCATCCGGAGTCGAGGCGAGGCACGCTTGACGTTTTATCCCTTCATCCGTGCCTGTGTACAAGTCCTTCTGTTTTGAGGCGTGCGATCACACCCCCACGCCATCACATGCCTAAAAGCTTTTCCGAGATGTGCGAATAATCGCACGCCTGAATCCCTCAGTACCGCACACCTCAGCATACATTTACAGCATAATTATACTTCATAATTTGTGAAAAATAAAGTACGTCAGTGAAGAGAAAATGGCTTAATTGTAAACCAAGATGAATATTATGAAATAATATCCCAGCTTGGACCATAGAATCACACACCTAGAAAAATCACTCGCCTAGAAGATCACACGCCTAGAAAAATCACACGCCTAGAAAAATCACACGCCTAAAAAAATCCAGGTGTGCCTTTTTCACCACATCTGTGATTTTCAAACCAGAAGGACTGGTGTATAAAAACAGCCAGATCGTATATGTCGGGTATTTTTTTCGGAGTAAACAGCTTACGAGATCACCAGGGAATATCCATTCATTTTCTCTTGAAAGGTAGAGATTTTTTGGGGGGGAGTGATCACTGGTGAGGGGCAAGACGCTGCGCTTCAAGGCCTACCCAGTCGCAGACAAAGCCAACAATGTAGCGTGAAGTAGGGATGGCTATCCAACCGTGCCGTAGATGAGTGGTCAGTGGTCAGCCTCAAGTGATCTGATTGGACAGAAGTTGTGACGATCCATATTTGGAAGTGTCATGAATAATTAATCGTGCAAGGTCAAAATAGTAAATATGTGGACTCAGTTTGCCAGG